AAGTTATAATAAGTAATTGTAATAATATATATAGAAAAAGTATATAACTTACAGTTTATAGCTATAGGTAACTTTAATTATATAGTTAATAATAATTTAGACAAAATAAGTAGTAGTATTAACAGTAGTAACAAAACTTTTCTATTACATAAATGGTTAATAAATTAGAGATTTGATGATATATATAGAAAGTATAATTCAGAACTAAGAGGTTATACATGGTTAGAGCAGAATATATAAACAAGAATAGACCAAATATAAGTATTAAAAAATCTGCAACCAAGATAAAATAAGCAAAAATTATTAATACAGAATTTATAATGTCTAGTGATCATAATATTATTTGATCATTAATATTATTTAAGTATTTAATTAAAACATAGAGTTTAACAAAAACAAAAAGAAAAAATCCAACAAAAACAATTTATTTATATGATAAAGTAACAAAAGAAAACTATAAAAACAATTAAACAGATTTTAAAAATTATTTGTCAAAGAACAAAAAACCTAAAGTATTTAAAAAAAAAATTATAATACTAATATAGATAAAGTATAGGATATAATGTCTAATGCTATCAATTCAATATATTTATCTAAAGCAGACCTCAATTTATCTACTAGCCAACTACATAAACTTATTCGCAAAATCCAAAACTATTCTTCATTTGACTGAATACCATTCCAAGCAAACTCCTTTTATCTTAATCTTACTTTTGAAAGCCTTATATCCAAAACCCTTATTGAAACAATTCATAACTACAACTTACTTATTAAAATAGTCTTACAAACTATTATTCAAATACTTTTTAATATTAATAAGCAAATCTATAATCAAATATGGAAACCTTACTGCATTGACTTTTCTAATTGGAAAAAAAATAATAACATTATATCTCTTCTAAGCTCTAACAATAACTATACCTTTCAACAAATACAACAAATGAGATATCACAAGAGATTATATATAAACTATACATACTTATGTCTATGTAGAATAGTAAATCAATTACATTTACATTTTAATATCTGTCTACCAATTGGACAAGCTATTAGGAAAATCAATATATGGTCAACACTCTGAATTAATCATAATACATCTTATAATCACATTTTAACATTACAAATCTGGTGGGCTTTGACCACCATAGTTGGTTTAGGTCACAGATAAAATTGTCTAAACTTTAATTCTTACATATTATTTTTATTTTGTAGTTTACAATCTTAGTATATCTTAGTATATAATATATTAATATGTACAACTAAAATTACTAATAAAGATATAAGCAAGGCCTCACCTTAATACCAAAAAAAAAAATGTCTAATGTAATAAAAGATGCAGTTAATAGAAATACTCAAGAAAAAGATAATTCAAGAGAAAAATAGTATTAAAAAGAAGAAAAAAATATTAGTATCATATAAAAATATTGTAACTTTTAGTAAACTGTTATAGAAAGTCAAAAAAATAATAAAAGAAAAGAAATGTGAACTTAATATAAAAAAATTAATTTAAAAATAGAAAGAATAAATTTAGAACATAGTCTAGAAATAAGCTATATAGATGATAATGATATAGCATATTTTGCAAGATGAAGCCAATCAATAAAAATGTAGTAGTAAGTATTAAAAATAGTTAAAATAAGTAAAAAAAATAAACAAATAAGAGCTAAAATTAATAGTGTAATAAACAAAAAATGTGAAAGAATTAATAAAAAACTAAGAAGAATACTTATGATTATTTTTAACAAACCTTGTAACAAAATTAGAATTGATTATATATTAAAACATGAAAAAAGTAATTATATTTTATACAATAAAACAGAGAAATGTAATAGATAATAAGAAAGTAATAGAAAACTGTTCAAGGAAGTTAAAGAAAACTGATGCAAGGATTTAAAAGTAAAAATATCAATCGAAAAATAACTAAAAACAATAAAAAAAAAAGAATAAAACAGTTTCTGGTTTATCTAATATTTGTTATAGATTAATAAAGAGTGCAGATAGAAAGATATAAAAAGACATAAGAAATTTTTAGAAAATTTGTAAATACTTGTTTAAAATTTAGAAAAATATCATATAAGTGAAAACTAGTACAAGTATATCCAATTTCTAAAGACAAAGACTGGAGTTACAAGTTTTGTAATATTAGACTAATTGTATTGCTAAAGACATTTAGAAAATATTTAACTAAGATAGTAGCAAAAAGAATATCTAGAATAATCATAAAAAAAGAAATATTTAAAGATTCAAACTTTATTGAATTATCAGTAAACTCAGCAGAAGAAGCAATTCATATAGTAGAAATAATGAGAGAAGATATAAAAAAAAGTAATAAAAAGTTATAGTTGTTAATGCAAAACATAAAAAAAATATACAATTTAGTGTCAATAAAGTTACTTCACTTGGCATTACAAAGAATTAAATTAATAAAAGAAACAGCAAAATTTATATTAAAGTTTTATTAAAGCTTTAATTTAGTATCTATTTATCTATTTATTTATAAATATTCAGATATCAAATGGATAAATAGGTAAAATAGATAAATGAATGAATATTAAGATATCTAATAAATTATCCAGATTAATGCAAAGAATAAGTATTAATACAAGAAGTGCATATTTATTTAATATTTAATTAATAGCTAATCTAACAGTTAATATAAAAGATATTATATAACATAATAGTTAAGATTTAATAATTAAGATCTGATCTAATAGTTGATATAAAAGATATTACATAATATAACAGTTAAGTTTTAACAGTTGATATAAAAGGTATTATATAATATAATAGTTAAGATCTAACAGTTGATATAAAACACTTTCCCAAAGTAGATTTTTCTAAAATGCCATTTCACTAAAGTCATAATACCAACAATCCATTTTACTAACAGGACAAAATAGATCTGTATTATTTTATCAAATATTAATTAACTAACAAGTTTATTTTACCAACAGTTTATTTTACCAATAATTATTTTATCAACAAAGTAATTCTGATCATTGTCCAGATTTAGAATTAGAGCTAAGTGAATGCAACCTTTAAAAAACTTGTTGGTAAAATAAACCATTAGCAAAATAATTGTCAATGAAATAAACTTAATGCTTAATTGATTTTCAGTGAAATTATATAGACCTATTTCTGTTATGTTAATAAAATGGATTTTTGGTATTACAATTTCAGTGAAATAGTATTTCAGAAAAATGTATTTCAGGAAGTTAAACCGGAACTCTAAAAATACTTGTTTAAATTGATCCATTTAGTTCCAGTAAATCTTTTAATTGTTGTGAAACTTTCTAGAGTTGAATATGAATAAGTTTTACCAATGAACCTCTTGATTCGTCTAAGTTACATAATAATTGATTTTAATCAGATTACTCAGGTGAAGTATCTACCCCAGTTAAGCAAGAGGAATTGTCCAATTAAGATCGTCTAAAGCCAGGTGATTTTTAAATTGATTACCGTTACTAATCGATTTGTAGATTAAAGTCACGTAATGAATATAAAATCCTACAAGGCTTTAGACAATCTTCATATTGGGGTGGACTTCTTGCTCTGTAGACCACCTGAGTTGAACTGATGGGTCACTCTGGTTGAGTTTTTTGACAAGTCCAACCTCTAATCGGGTTGATCAATTAACCAGAGCCGACATGGTCAGGTTGGTCAGTTGACTATCGGAGCTCTAATTGTATTACTAATTACAGATCCGTAACTCACAAATCATTAAATAAATATACTACTGTAAAACTTTCGGTTCACGTTCAAAAATAATTACCCAAATATATGGGCGGTGATCATCATCGGTTATTTAAACTAAAAATCAAATAATAAAATAAAAAAACTTCTATGATTTAATTACTTTCCACCTCAGTAGATTCTTAGTATAAAAATCGTCCTTCTAAATCTAATTCTATTAAAATAATGCCTGCGATTAATATCTTCAACATTAATTTACAGTAATTGAATGTCTTATATTCACGTTTACAACTTTAATCCTTTTTCAGTAACAAGGCCTATGACAAATTATTTCATTAGTATTTTCATATCCGCAGCTTTTTGATATTTTGATAATATATAAATGCCTTATATTCGTCCTTTTCGACTCCAATTCCATGTTGATAACAATAACCAACTTGACGTATTGCAGGAATATCTACCATTTGAGCTGATTTTTGATAATAGATGAATGCTTTATTTTCATCCTTTTTAACCCCAATTCCATAATTATAGCAATGTCCAACATTATATGATCCAATTGCGTGTCCCAAATTTGCTAATTTTTGATAATAACTGAATGCCTTGTATTCATCCTTCTCAACTCCAATTCCATTTTGATAACAATGTTCAACATTAGATGTCCCACCTGCGTCTCACATATCTGCTGATTTTTTGATAATATGTGAATGCCTTATGTTCATCTTTTTCAACTCAAATTGCATTTCGATAACAATATCCAACCTGAAATGTTCTACTAGCTCCCCCAATCTCTTCTGATTTTTTATAATAATTGAATGGCATATTAATATCCTTTTTAACTCCAATTCCTTGTTTATAACAAGCACCAAGGCATCCAATTCCATGAGCATTTCCCATATTTGCTGATTTTTTATAATATGTGAATGCCTTATATTCATCTTTTTTAACCCAAATTCCCATTTTGTAACGAGTAATTAGTCCATATGAATCGTCCATATCCGCTGATTTTTGGCAATAAAAAATTGCTTTATAATCATTTTGATCAACACCGATCCCATTCTCATACCAAAAAGTGAGATTATGCATTCCAAGAGAATTTCCTAATTCTGAGGTCGTCTAAAGCCAGGTAGTTTTTAAATTGATTACTAATAAATTTGTAAAGCAAAACTCACGTGACACATATAAATTACTGCCTGGTTTTAGACGATCCTTAAATAAGGCAATTGATTATATTAGCCATCAGACCTATACAGCAGTGATTTTAATAGATGACTGGTTTGCAGCACTCAACGCTTCCAGTTTAAAGTATGAATAAAGGAAGACATCGTTCATATGCTGCCACAAGTTCGTCTACTAGTTCTACTGCCACTAGAACTAATATTCAACTTGTCTGTTTGGTCCATGGTGAACCACCAAGTTCTTGTTTCAAAGTTACAATAGGAAATCATGAAGATGGTGATGAACTTAGAAAGTTAATTAAGAAAATAAACGAGCATGATTTCGCTAAGTTTGCCGCAAGGAAACTTAAATTGTGGGTCGTTGATATTCCATATAACTCTCTAAACATCAGTGACTATAACGTGGACATTGTGAATGTCCTTCATGGCCGAGAATTTCCTATCCTATGCAAAGTTGGTGATATTTTTACTGAACAGCCTGTTAAAGACCATATTCACATAATTATTGAGTTGCCTGCTCTCAATGGTAAGTGAAGAAAACCAATTTTACAGAACAATCTCTTTTTGTTGAAAGAAAAAAATTAGATGATTAAATGTTTAAACGTCTCCGTTATTTTGTACAAAAATGGGCGGTGTAAAGGAGTTATGAAATCGTGTATACGCTTAATATGACGTTTTATTAACTTCGTGCTTCGAATATTTAATTAGAAGCAGGTATGGAAGGAGAACTAGAACTTAAAAAAACGATTGTTAAATTCACTGAAACGACGCAACAATTCATTGATTATATTGATAGGTAAACATGTTTTCTGGGCACTATACCGCACTAATTAAAGATCCAAATTATTATACTCTCATGTAATATACCCTATTTTATATTGCTACATATTTAATTTCTATTTTAGATATAATATGGGGGTGTGTCAATAGAAACCAAGCAAATTATTTTTAGTGAGTTTTTTAAAATTTTAAATTAAAATATCTCAACAACTGTTAAACCAACTTTGATGAATTTTTTTTTTTTAATCCTATAACTATATAAAATTAAAATAAAAAAATTTTTATTAAGTTTGGTTAAATATTTGTTGAGATATTTTACTTTAAACTTTAAAAAAAATTTACTTAGAAAAAATTTGCTTGGTTTCTATTGACACCCCATATGCTCATATAAAATGTTGGGGATGATGCTGAAATTTGGATGATCGTGAAATTAACGCATCTGATTGGTTAGGGTTAGGGTGATTAGCCAATGGGGTTTTCGATTTCACGATTATCCAAATTTCAGCATCATCCCCGACATAAAATATCCTAAAATCATATATCCATCATTGATCAAAGAATTCCCCTAACATCTTATTAGTTTTTTGTTAACTCCGGATCTTTTTGTGTGTTATTACTTGTCGCTAAGCATTATCCAGTTTTCAGAAACCTTTATTTTGCCATTTTCAATTCCTTATTTGCTTTGCTTCAGGCAAGCGAAAAGGTCAAAAGTTTCTCTCTCAAGTATTGACCAAACACATTTGGATGAATTATTAAACCACTTGCAATTCCGTCGAGCTACGAGTATTATTACTGTGAGTTCAGCAGATAAGGATTTTGATGAACGATTCGTATGGGATGAACGAAATGAAGACCAGCATGCGAAAGATGTGAAAGATGATCATGATCAAGTGTGTAGACGAGGATATATGAGCTATTTAAGTGACAATATCTCTATTTCCTCTAAATTTATCTGGTATGATCCGAAACCTAAGAAAGATCTTTTAAATATCAACGATTCCTCGCTACCTTATAGCATAAGCGGGACGACTGATGTGTTGGTCATGGATGAAAGTTTTTATAGGGTTCTAGATTATCGTTCTGGAATTCAAGCCGGGTTTGAACTTAAAAAAGAAGTCCAAGATTCTGATACTAATCAAGCTATTGCGGAACTTATTGTAACAAATCTTGTTTCAAATCACGCCGTTTTTATAGTCCTCACCGATTTAAATAATACATGGATATTCTATTGGCTTACAAATGATAACTTAATAATGATGTCTCGAACTAATTCACGTGATGCACTTGCAATTATCGAAATGGCACTTGCTGAAGATCCCAAAGTCAAAGCCGCCACCACAACTATAGACATTAATTTTCCTATTGGAATGAGGTGCAACTACTTTCGTCGTTTGAGCAATTTGCAATATGGAGAAGCATTCGAGAACGAGGTGGAGGGGCTGGATCTATTTCTGAACAGGCCTAAGGTCAATTTTGAATTTGAGGATGATATTGCAAACATGAAAGATATGTTTGATGAGATGACTGAAAAGGAGATAACTGATTGGAAAATAAAACGAGCTCTAAGGCTTTTGGAAGATACGCCCGGTTTTCAATTAGATAAAAATTACATGGATATGTATTCATGATCATATAGGTAATAATACAACCTGCCCATGTCAAGCTTGTATTTTAACGTGTAATAAGGCAAAGATACCCGACAATTTGGAAAAAAACAATAAACACAAATTCCTTGCAAAATTAAAGTGACTGGAATTATTCTAATATATACCAATTTCCGCAAAATTTACAAATTTGATGCTCTTGCATAGTAATCAAAAAAATTTGCGACATCACTTTTAATAATAATTTACTATTAAAAATGAAATTGCAATTTTTTTTTGAGGAAAAAACAAATTTTAGATGCAAAATGTAAATTTGTAATATTATATTCTGTGTATTTTGTTTTTTGTTAAATTGTTTGTAGTGGAATTTAATCACGTGTCAGTATTTGATTGGACATAGATGTTATACAAAATCAATTTCTATGTTTTACTTTCATTTGAACATAGAAACGATTTTGATTAGTCCATGTTCATATTTGTCCATATTCAAATAAAATTTTAATTGGACATAGTCCAAATTACAACACTAAATATAACTACCAACAAACAATATTAATATTTTTTTTTAATATTAATGATGAGACCATGTCTTTAACTTTATTAAAATTAAATTAAAGTTTTTATAAAGAAAAGCTTGTTTTTAAATTGCATATAAAGAATAAAGACTCAGACATATAATCTGCAATTTAAACTTACAAGAGTGACCAAGGCTCATTTAGATTTGGGTGTTAGTAATAATAAAAAAGAGAAAAATATAATATTTAATCTATTTAATAGTTTAAAGATTAATTTTAGTAATAATTTGTAGTATTGAAATAGGAAGTAAGAGTAAACTAGAGGAAGAACTATGAGTTAAGTTAGTGAAAGATGTGATTTGAGACTGTGTAAAATGTGAAATAAACAATATAAGATCTATATTTGTTTATATATTTATTGGTTTAAATAAAGAAAAAGTTTAGTAAAAAGAGAAATAGTAATACAATAAGAAATAGAAATATTATAAATAATAAAAATAAGATCAGTAAGAACTAAATCAGATAAAATAGAAGTAAAAAATGATATGTATAAAAAGTTGTGTAGTTTAAAACTGTTGAGTATAAGAATTTCTTTATATAAGTTAGAAATAAGATTGGTAAACATGAAGAACAATTGTATTTAGAATGCAATTAAGAGAATTAAAAACTAGGTAATATATAGTTTGAATAGAAGAATAGATAATACAGTATAGTAAAGAACTAGTTTGATTGTGTTAATAGCAAGAAAAAGAGTATAAAAAGTTATATTTGTTATATTTATAAAAAATATAAGAAACAAATAGTTCATTTAGAAGAATTTTAATACAAAAGGTTTTAAGAATAGAGAAATAAAAGTTGTAAACAAAATTAAAGATTTTTTGATTATTATTAATATAATGTTAAGTGGTTTTTTAGTTAATATCAGATATAATACTAGACTATTATTGAAAGCAATATTGAGATTTTTAAAGTATTATAATATAAGTTTGACAAATAGTACAAATAGAGTATCAAATAGAAATTTTAATAGAAAGTTGATCAATAAATAGAGTATAAACAAAGTTATAAGAGTTATTAGTTAAGAATATTAAAAATATAATATTTGGTAATTGTGAACAAGTTGGTTAACATGATTATTAAATAGGTTATCTTAGTGTACAATAACTTTGTAAAAAATAAGCTAAATATTATATAAGTTAATAAAGTTAATAAGAATGTGCCAAATAGAGAAGTATGAGATATGAGTATATGAAAATTAAGATGCTAATAGACAAATACTGTAGTATTTAGAAATTACTAATTGTAAGTTAATAAATATATAAATTGAACAGTTTTTAGAAACAATAATGATTGTTAAGAGAATAACAAGAATTTTAGCTTTAAAAGAGCATAACTAGAATTTAACTTATACTTGAAATAAGTGTGAAGTTGCTGAATTATCTACTTGAAACATTAAGAAGTACTAAAATCAATAACAGAACTATTAGTATAAAATAAAATAATAAATAGATTGTAATTAGAGTTAGCAATAGACTGTAAACTATCAGTACGTTAGTCTAGTTAAAAAATACAAAGCAGTTGTTGTAAGTTGATTGTTAATAAAAAAGAATATAAAATATATAAAGGGTCTTATATTGCTACAAAGTATGCAATGTCAAGAAAATTGGCATATAAGTTAAGAGTTTTATCAAAATTAATATGAAAGATTAGTTTGGTAACCAAGTTTATAGTAATAAAAATAATACATTTATTAGTAATTAAATTGAAATTAAAATAACATCCAGGGCATATTGTAGTAATAGAAAGAACAATGTAAATAATTATCTATTTAACCAATCAAAATAATTTATAATATATTAAACTGATATATAGATACAGTATATTTTCAAATATTAAAGCTAACAATAATATAATTACTAACTCTACAAAGATTAAATAATATGTTAGTAATCACTTTAATATATAATAATTTTATTGTTTGTTGCTACTAATTTAAAGTAAGTTTTAAGATAATAGTAAAAAAAATAAGATATATATTTTGAATTAGTAGATGTATTATTTAGTTGAATAAAGTTTTGTTTAAATTGGTTAACTAGTTTATAAAGATCTTTATAAAATAAGTATATATAGAATTTTGTTAAGATAAGTGTAAAAATATTTAAAGGTAGATATATATATTGTTAAATATATATAGTATTAAAAGATTGTTTAAAATAATAAAAAGTTAAGTTGTAGATATTATAAGTTATTTTTTTAATTAAGAATTTTATTTTTTTCTAAATTGGTATAGATATATATATAACATATTGCTGTTTTAGTAACATAGTTTGTTTAGTTTTAAATGAATCAAATAGTTGGTAAATTAGGTTTTTAAAGAATTAACTTTTTGTATTACATCCTTCTGAGAATTCCTCTCCAGAAAAACTTTTTATATCCACTTCTCAAAAATTACAAATACCTAACATTTTTATCAACACTTCAACGAACTTTAAAACTACTAATATTGATTATAAATCATCAACAGAAGATCCAAATGATACTATCGACTTACTAACTACCAAAACTATTAAAGGAAAAACCTTCACCCAAATTCCAGACCTCTCAAAAATATACAATCCCTTAACATGTTTCAACAAATTCCTTTCTTTTTATAACCTACAACTTCTACCTTTACTACAGTTAATAGGTTTATTTCTAAAATTTATCCAAAATAAATATCCAAATTACTATTCAGAACAATATATAAAAATTTCTATTAAAACATCTAAAAACAATATATTCAAAGAAGCATATATTCATCTTCCACAGGAAATGAATCCCCTATCCAACTTCACTAATATTTCTTTTAAAAATCTTACAAACTTTCAAAATATTCCACTCAAAACAAATTATACTTCAACAAGATTCAAAATACCTTCTCTTCCAAAATGTCAAAACTCTTTTCTATCCACAACACCAATACCTCCTAAACCTCCCTCTATTATAACATATACAAACAACATCTTACCTTCTGAAAATTCAAATATTACAAAATCAATCAAATTACACTTACTAAATGTTAACGGTCTTCTTGATAACTTCAAACAACTAAGTCTAATTGATTTTATCTCAGAAAATCAAGTTGATATTTTTGAAATTTCAGAAACACATCTATTTAGCAAAAAAGCAAAATTCTCAATACTTTCGCAAAAACTTTTAAATTACAAATGCTTCTGGACACCAAGTAATGCTCGCCAAGGTGGCATAGGAATATTAATCCACAAATTACTGGCAAAGCATATTGGAAAAATACAGACATACAAAAACTTTCTTCTAGAAATTGACATATTTCTCAAAAATTTTTACATTAAACTAATCCAACTTTACTTTCCAACTCAAGAAAAAAAACAACTCTGAAAAGACATTCTTCAATATCTTACTCCTATTCTTAATAAAACCAACTACAAAATAATTTTAATGGGAGACCTAAATGGAGTTCCAAATCCTAAACTAAATAGACTACTACAAAAAAGCTCAACTACACCTGAACATTCTCTTTTAAAAATACTTAAATCTCTTCAATTTTATGACATCTACAGGCTCTTTTTTCTATTTATTGCCACATTCTCCTATACACATAATAACAGTTATAGTAGAATTGACCAAATATGGACTAACATTCATATTACACTTTTAGACTATGCTGACATCTTACCAAATCCATTTACTACAACTGAT